TATGCGAGTCGGGCAAGGGCCTGGAGATTGAAAGAACACACAAAGAGACCTGGGTCATTTGAAAGGAGATCAGCTGAATGCCATTTATTCAACCTTGGGGAAATCCTTATGTACCTCGCTGCTGCACAAGGATTTCCGCCCAGGCAGGTGGGAAATTACCATGCCAAAGATGGAGTCAACAATGCCCTACAGCTAATCACCAGGCAGGGCAGAGGGAGCACAGGAACAAACAATGTTTTAGCTGACTGACCAGAAACTGTCCTCAAGATGAACCCCAAGAACAAGGGTAGACCTGGGGCCCTACATCTGGGATAGGCAGACAGGTGAGGAGAGGGTCCTCAGCTAGATAATAATGACGGAAAATTCCTGCCTGCTTTCTTCCGCTCCTGACCAGAGACAAAGGCCCAGCTTTTTCTCCAGCCAACACAGCACTTGCTTGTCCTGACAAGTTCGAGGTCAGGACACATGTACCTTACGTCGTGGGTCTAATAGTTTCCCCTCCTTTGTGCAAACCGGCCAACCCTACAATAGGGAATGAAGCCCCCTCAAAAATCCCTGAGTATGCCAGGGTAGGCAGGATTCTCCTTCCTGTGGATCTTTCTGTGTACCTTGCTGTATGTTTCCCCACCCTTAATGAACGTCTTTCTTCACTGGTCTGCTGCTTCTGTCTGCTGTGTCTGAGATTTCTCCCTGCTGCTGCTACCTTTTACTCAGATTTTTCTTGCCTTTAATTCTTTAACTGGCAGAGAAAAACAACTCTGGCTGAAACTCCCAGGCAGTAACAATAGTGTACGAATGAAGATTAGACATTCGTAGATTTTGCTGTTTCATTTCCTGTTTCTTATACCATTGCATTTTATATTTAGACCTTGTCTTTTAAACTCAAAAATTAAAAATTTTTTGTTGTTATTGTGCTAACTCTCCCTTGTAAAAACTATGTTTTTCTTTATGTCTAAACTGAAAGAAAGAGGGCATGTTCAGTATAGCTAAAAACAGTGGGTTGAAGTGGGAACATGATGGAGGAAATTTATATTAATTAATATATACAGATAACTTCTTATTGTCCACATACTGTTATGGTTCAGTGTGAAATGTCCCTCACAGATTTATGCCTTTTGGTCTCCTCCTGATAGTAACAGTTTTTTGGGGGGAGGTGGAACTTTAGGGGTTGGGTCCATGTGGAAAAAGTAGGGCATGGGGTAAACCTTGAAATTTATGATCAGCTCCTGATTCACGACTTCTCTCTGCTTTCTGTCAGCTACAGATGTGCAGAAGCTCCCTCACCATGACTTCCCCACGCTGATGGACGGTACCTCCTGGACCATTGCTCTACATCCTCCTTCCCTTAAGTAGCCACCTTCAGATACTCCATCCCAGTGATGAGAGAAGCTGGTACAGGCGCTGGTGCCTGGTACCCCACACCATCTTTATATCTGGGGAGTATGAGGACTCACATACAGGAATTTGTTGTTCAAAACGCACTCACACACACATACTGGCCATTGTGTATGTATATTGAATCTCTGGCAATATGACTTATTCACTAATATAAACCAACAATCGTGTCCCACTAACAGAGTAGCCCTGAAGGGAGTGGATGCTTCTGCTCCCATCCCTGGGTGTGCAGGCTGCTGGCAAAGCCAGGCCGGTGTTCAGGCTATGCAGGGAGACAAGAAGCAGAGAGTGGAGTGTTTCGCCTGATTCCTGAGATCCAGTCTCAATGACGCTTTGCTTCAGAGAGCACATTCTGTCTCAGCCACAGGAGGGCCTCTGTCCCCTGAACCTCCTGTCTCACAGACTGAGAACTCAGAGATAAACCGAGGAGCAGACTCAGGACAGAATAGCAGTAATATTTGCCTTCTGCATGGGGGGGGGGATGGGATATTTGGCTTCATCCAACACTTCTCCAGTTGGTGATGCCTGAGAACAGCTTTCTCAGTAATGCTGGTTTGACTACTTTGGACAGAAGTTGCTTGCCCATGTAAATCAATACATATGCAACATCACAAACTCCCTGCCTTCACCCAATTCACATTCTCCTACTGCACCGCAAGACATAATCAGAGGCTTGTCACACTGTGTGCTCTGTTCCAGTGTGACCAGGAGGAACCAATTTGCCAGAGTTACTCCATTACAGGGAAGAAGGGGCAGGGGCTGCTCAGAAAACACCACCCTGCGGCTTCTACCACATTGTCTATGGCAGGAACCACAGCCACCATGCTTGGAGCCATCTTCCTGTAACCCTGGACGATGGAGCACTTCTGAAGGTCACACACTGTGGCTGCAGAGCTACATCTGGTACTCACTATAATGATGACTGTCTCACGGGTCATAGATGACCTATGTCGCCCATCGGCCTGAATGCCACTCACAGGGTGGGCATAAGCTCTGGGTTTTCAGGTCTTATGATTGAACAATTGAGGCAGTCGTCCTTCATGTCCCATGCTTTTGCCAGGCCTACCTTCTGTCCCAGGTTGTTACTTCTGTCTTCAGAGTCATGGGAAGAGAGTTAGTCGAGGATAAGTTAGTAACAGGGTGTGCCTGGCTCAGGTGGAATTATGGGAAAAGGTGGGCAGGGTAGAATGCTGTCGTCTTGGGATCAGCATAGCTAGAGGGCATTAAAACTGCTGTGGCTGTGACTGTCACCAGATGAGGGGTGTATCAAGACCAGGGTGAATTCGCTCTAGCTAGGACACACCTTCCCTTGAGCTGAGGTGGGTTTACACAGGCCTTCCCTCCTTTTCCCAGAGGGTATGATGACAACCGGCTTCCCCATTATCTCAGGCCTGTGTTTTATCAGCTTCCCACAGGCCGCATCCCAGTTCAGGGAGCATCTGTGACCTGTTGTGCAGTAATAGCTTGGTTTTCTCGTGTTCGGCTCCCTTCACAAGTACTTAGTGTGAAATCATAGGGGAAGGGAGTGTGAGCAGGAGAAAAACAGCACTATTACACAAGCCCCCCGAAGAGACTGCTGTGAGAGAATTAAAAGCTGCTGCCCTAGGACATTCTAACAGACGACACTGTGAGGTTGCCAAGGTAACCCACCAGGAGACAGCTCCAGTGTCTCTGGGACTGAGGCTGGGGAGATGAGGTCAGTTAGAGGTAAGGCCCTGCTGCCCAGGGTCTGTCCCCTAACCACCCGGCCCACAGCAGTCCAGGTGTCTTCTGTACGACATAAGTGAAGCGAAGGCTGGGCTACTTATCAGGCATTAAAGGGAAAGTGAATGGGAACACTGTCAATAATTGTTGAATGTTGGCCACACAGCGCTTTCAATGAGCTGGATGCAGAGAACTCAATTCACTGCATACCTGTTTATCGAATACTGTGTACCAGGCAGGAAACAGCATGATGTATAGAAAGACAGGTCAAGCGTTCCAGGAAAAACAAAACTAGATTAAACTGAAAAATGAAGAACTAGGCAGAGAAAATTTATTGGAGACATTTAAATACACAGTATTGGCAATAAGGACAATACTGAGTGGAGGAAAATAGAAAAATGTCAGAATATCTTATTAACCCCAAGGACCCAGTGTTTACAAAACAAAAAACCCAAACCCAAACCACACACAAATATAAAACTACACACACACACACACACACACACAAAATGTATAATCGGAAAGAATTTGCTTAAAAATAATCTCTTCTCTCTTTCCCTCCTTTCCAATGCCCTATGATTCCTTGGGGACCATTGGCTGCTACCCGCAGGTGCTGCTTTCCGTGTGCTCTTAGCACCCAGGGCTCTGCACAGCGAGAGTCCTGACTCTCAGGTCTCAGCAAGATCATTAGCAGAAAGGCCTCCCTTTAACTTCACAAATAAGCTTTCAATACTAGGGGTGCCCTGCACCCTTTGACCCAGCCTGCTATTTTCTCCCAGTGGGGCAGCTGGGAATGGGAAGCAGGGATGAGAAAATGTGGACAGGTGGAGAGGCATGCCAGGAAGTGGTGGGTGGAGAGGCAAAGGTGGGAAAGAACATAAATCGGGTGGAATGGTGGCAGGAAGTAGAAGACAGATGGCTACAGGAAAGAAAATCCCAGAGTCTCTCACAAGAGTAGTCCCTGCAAACAAGGCAGTACTTCCTCCCCCTGGCGGGAGTTATTAGTACCAGACGGACCTCATTAAAACACACTGCCTAGATCAGCCCTTCACCGCGTAGCTCCACTGCCTAAGGACTCTTCTTTGCCCAACCAGAACAAGGTAATCAATTAGATCTCAGCCCCTTATGGTAATGATGATAATAACGATAATAGCCGAGTCATAGAATGCTTCCAAGCATTTCCCATTTAATAATGCACGGGGAAGTGTGCTTGGCAGATGAAGAGGCCCAGTCACTGGAGTCACAAAGGAGTAAGGACAGAAGGCAGGAATCCATCCTGATCATTTGTCTCTAAGGTTCCTGCTCTCAAAGCAGTTCTGTTCTCTTTCACTGGCCCCAAGGAGACACTACTTCACATCTTCACTTTGGTTTGTGGAATATTCTCCTTGAGGAACCCATCTTGCTAGGCTAAGATCACCTGATCTCTCCAAGATCTTAAACCTTTGGATACCTGTATAAGGTGGGGGAGGAGGGGCTGAGGCCAGTGGCACTATTTCTCTCCCTAGCACTATTTGCCAACAGATAAACCCGGCAGCATGCGCGCTGCTTGGGGACGTTCCCACCTGTGGAATGGGTGGAGAATGTACCTCTTTCTAGCTTTGCTCCCCACCCTGGCCATCAGCATGTTGATGGCGGTCGCCTTTCCAGAATCTTGGTGCTCCCCTAAGCGGGTTCCAGAGCCCGACACTGGGGAAGGGTTACTGGGGGAGGGCTGGGGTGGCTGAGCGCTGGCGGCGCACGGGGCCAACGGGTCTCTCGCGCGTGATTGCCAGGGGCCGCTAGGCTTCCCCCGAGAAGATACAGCGCAGCATATTTTGCACATGAGTTCAGAGGAAGAGGAAGTGTAGCGGGCGGACGCGCGGCGGCGGCGGCGGCGGCGCTGGGTGGGTGGGGTGGGGGCATCAGGGCTGGAGTCGGAGCGCGCAGGGCGCAAGGCGCAGCGAGCGGGAGCGCGGCGGCCACTGGCTCCTGGAAGGTACCCGCGCGGCCAGCGCCCGAGGGACCTACGACGCGCGAGCGGCCGCGCCCCGCGCTCTGCCCCCACCCCCGGGGCCCCGTTGTCCGCGCGCCGCTCTGCTCTGCATGGCACAAACTTTCATCCCGGGACGCTGCACGCTGTCTCTGGGAACCCGCGCCACGGTCGCCGTCACTGGTCCCCAGAGGTAGGTGGACGTGCGGCGAGGTGGCGCGTAGAGGCCTCGGCCGCTGGTTCCGCGGCTCCTGATCTCGGTGAGCAGGGCGACAGCTCCTCATGGCACCTCAGGACTCCAGAGCTGCCAGGCGAACCCCCTGGTCCAGGTCGCATGGGGATGGGGATTGATCGATAGGACGCCAGATTCTGGGCCAACTTTTTTTTTTTAAGATAAAGAGAAAAAACAACACTCGAGTGGGTTGGGGAGACCGTGGGTCTGTTGCCTGCTGGGGGGTCATGGGCTCCGCTTGCGCAGTAACTACTAGAAGGACGCGGACGGAAGCTCAGAGGCTACAGGTGGGTTAGGATCAGCTACTAGTGGTCACCCGGCCTGGCCCGGGGCAGATGGGAGCTGCCACCACCCACGTGCTGCCGGAGAGGTGTGCTCGACCCAGGGCAGCGGTGCGCGACTCTTGAAAGCAGACTGGGCAGGCGTGGAGACTTGGTGGAGATTCCGGGAAACGAGTCTCTGGCACCAGAAACGGCTATCTCCCCGCCTCCCCATCCCCTTCCAAAAGGGATTTTTCTTGCTTCATCCTATTACACTTTCCTAGGCACGGGGCTCGTCCGTATAGGCATGGGTTCTGGGCCGGGAGGAGGTCTGTGTATTGCCAGGCAAGTGATCCAGTTTGGTTCCGGCACCGCTATCTTTGGAGGCCAGAATCGCCAAGGGCAGGGTTAGCCCCGCGCCTGCTCCCTACTGCCTCTTGGCTGCCGGCTCTCAGCTGCCCCCTGTGGGCGGTGGGTGGTGTTAGTGAGTTTGTTTAGGGCTTACAAACAAAAACTATTTGTTTTTATTTTAAAGAGTCTGGCACAGATCTTTATATGTGAGTGGCTGCCTCTTCTTGTCCGCACAGCCGTTTTCAGATGCCGGGGAAGCGGTTAGAACAGGTGTCTCCCAACCCTTGCCATGGAGTGTCATCTCAGGATAAACCTTTTCCAGGAAGGAAACCCTGGTGTAATATGAGTGACCTACAAGTCTGTGGGTAGAGCCGCTCAGCCCAGTATTCCCCTGGCTGCCAGGACTCCTAATTTTACCTTCGGATTAGTTGAATTCAGAGGAAGTTCAAGTGACAGACATGTCACCAGCCACCCTCAAAGCTTAAGCAACGAGCTGTATGGTGTATTTGCTCTAACATCAGTGAATCAGTGTAACCCTAGAGTGAGCTTGCATACTCGTCTGCCATCTGCAGGGGTTTCATGAAGCCTGAGCAGTCCCAACCCCAAGCTGGGAACCTCCCTGTACCCACATTTGTGGGACAGGACACGGGCTTGTTTTGCCTTTGTCTTTCTGACATCATGGACAAGGGCAAATGAAGTGGGTTGTGAAGTCAGCTAATGGATTTGGCGCGGGAATTGAAAAAGAATAAATTGGGGGTCCAAGTCATTGGATTCTTCCTCTCCCTCTGGAGCAGGAAATTTTGGGTTGATTTCAAGTAATTGCTTTGTCTGTAGGGAAACAGGCCTGCATGATGGGAGTTCCTGTAAGCCCACTTGTGTTCATCCAGGCTTTGCTTACATCAGAGCTGAAGCTGTGCGGTCCCATGGCTTGGTGGCCATGGCTGCCTCACCAATGTTTCCCTATGGAGCCCTAGCTAGTCTGAATCCCTCACTATGTAGACCAGGCTGGCCTCAAACTTCCAGTGATGCTTCTTCCAAGTGCTGGGATAATGATATGCACGACCACAGCCAGCCAGCACCCACTAAAACAGACAGACAAGCAAACAAAAATGACCATTTAGTAAAGTTGCAACAGGGACCATATAAATACATAGCTAGGTACAGTGGCATACTCCTGTAATCTCAGAATTCAGAAGGTAGAGGAGGCCGGAGAAATATGCCTGTACATTGTTTTGACGTATGCATGCACCGTATAACAGTCCTTGTAAAGACAGATAATGTACCATCAACCTGGGTTTCTTTGTGGCCACCAGTCGGTTCCAGCCCCTAACTTCCCAGTGGCAACCACTGCTCTGTCTTACCATGGGTTAGTTTGGCCTGTTTTCTGAACATTGCATATACAGATTCTGCAGTTCTGAATAGTTTGTTTTTTATTCAGTAATTCATTTATTTACTGATGAGTTATGTCCAGGAGGTGTGTATATGTGTATTGTATAGCTCCCTGTTCCTGGACACATGGGTTATATAGCCATGTTTTGTTAGTTGTTGGTTATTATGAAAAACAGTGATGTGAATATATGTGCATTTGTGCACAAGTTCCCAGGGACACAGCTCCCATTTCTCATGGATGGTACCCGTGTCACAGAACAGGTGTGTATAGTGTATAGAGGAAATTGCTAGGCCTTTGTCTAGTGTGGAGAGTCCATTTTACACTCATAGAAGAAGTACAGATGTACTGAAGATCACATAACAATCCCCTAGATCTAAGTCAGGATGATTAGCTCTCCTGGGGCTGGAGGACGGTGTTCTCCTGGGAGCAGCTGGGACACTCATGGGCATGTTTTCATAGATAGAGGGGCCTATGAGAAGCAGACCTTGACTCTGTCAGTTAACGGGTTTAATCTTTATTGTAGTGTGTGTGTGTGTGTGTGTGTGTGTGTGTGTGTGTGTGTTCATACCACAGATGTGTTTGGAAGGTCAGAAGATAAGTTTGGGGATTTACACTCACTTTCTGCCTAGTTTGAGGCACAAGGTCTCTCCCTTGCCTTCAGCTCCCACTTGCCCCAAGAGTACTGGGATTACAGATGTGCTGTCCAGCTCTGTGTGTCCTGGGGATCTGAACTCATTTCCTCCCACCTGCCCCAAGAGTCCTGGGATTACAGATGTGCTGTCCAGCTCTGGTGTGTCCTGGGGATCTGAGCTCAGCTCCCACCTGCCCCAAGAGTACTGGGATTACAGATGTGCTGTCCAGCTCTGGTGTGTCCTGGGGATCTGAGCTCAGCTCCCACTTGCCCTAAGAATCCTGGGATTACAGATGTGCTGTCCAGCTCTGTGTGTCCTAGGGATCTGAACTCATTTCCTCCCACCTGCCCTGAGAGTCCTGGGATTACAGATGTGCTGTCCAGCTCTGGTGTGTCCTGGGGATCTGAACTCAGCTCCTCACTCTTGCCCAGCAAACTTTTTACTCACTGAGCCATCTCCCCAGCACTTAAGTCAATTTAGACTAAAACTGTTGCAGCTGCTAAGATGGATGTTGTCTCTCTTTAGAGAGTGTCACAGAGGGGGTCTCCATAGAGGAATAGACCTAGATCATAAAAGGTTGAATGGTTGCTATAAAAAAAAAAAAAAACCAGGTTCGACAGAACCCCACTGAACTTCTGCCTAGAAACTCCTGGGGGATTCTGGGCCATTTGTTGTGCTGATGTGAATTTTGTGGAGGTGCCCTTTGGGTTTCGCCAGGGTGGGCGTTTTCTTTGGGATACAGGGCAGAGTTGGAGTGGGTAAGGATGGAGCAACTTTGCTGAGAATGTGATTCGCCTTTTCTGTGAGAAACATAGTCAGGCGCCCCCAGACTCTTATTACTGAGAAAAGGGGTGTGGCCTCTGAGAGTCTCTTCCACTGTAGTCTCTCTCTGTGGGACCTAAGGCAGGGCCTGACCTGGTGTGATCCAGGAGACAGGAAGAGTGGTTCTCTGGTGGAACACAGGGTGAAATATTTCCATATCCTCAAGGTGTCTCGGGGGAGTCGTACAGTCTCGAGACACTGGAAAGGGTCTTGGGCTCTGTCGTTTATGGAACTCCAGTAAACACTGTGCGATGCAGGCCACAAGGAAAGGGCACAGGAAACATCCATGAGAGGACTGAGCAGCCATCGGGTGACAGTGGGTGCGGTTGCGGAGAGATCATGGTCCCAGCTCTCAGCAGATGGTTCACCCCCGTGGGGGGATGGTACTAACTATTCATACCCAGAACAACTTTGCTGACAGAACTTCAGGGTAGTAGCATCGTTCTGTTTCATAACAGATTTCCATCACTATTAACCAGATATTGCTGGGTTCTGCTTGGCACCACACCTGTGTCACCTAAGTCGCCTTCAGGAGAGATGAGAGCTGATGCCATTTGCTTTTCAGACTGGAGGAGGTCAGCATTCCACAAGCCTTGCGTTCACTTCCCGCGTTTCTGAAGCCTGTAGGGGAGACGGTGGCGCTCGGGTGTAAGGAGTGCAGCATCTTCTGGAGTACAGCACGTAACAGATGAAGACATAGCCTAACAGAGTGTCACTGGGCAGCCAGACAGAATGACAGGAAATGGCCCTCTGCAGTCACTTCCTTTAGTGTCCTGTGTACCTTTGTCTCACAGGCACAGAGTTTTGGCACAGTTGGGCTTGTGGAGCTCTGACTTTGAAGGTTGGTGTGGTGCCACATACCTGTGATCTGAGCATTCAGGAGCTGTAGGCAGGAAGAAGGAGATTTCAGGGCTAGCCTAGGCTATCAACAAGAGCCCCCGACTCAAAAAGTAAAATAAGGGTCAGCAAGATGGCTCAGCAGGCAGAGCTGCTTATCTAGGAAGCCCGATGGCCCGAATTCAGTCCCCAGAGCTCAGGGTGGGAATTGTCCTCTGACCTTCGTGAGCACACCTTGGCACAAGTGCATGTGTGGCTATAACACGCACACACACACACACGCACATGCACACACGCGCACACACACGCACACACGCACATGCACACACGCGCACACACACGCACACACGCGCACACACGCACGCGCACACACACGCGCGCACACACACACACACACACGCACTTTTGGTTGTTTGGTTTGTATTTTGGAGAGAGGGTAACTTTCTCTGTAGACCAGGCTGGCCCCGTACTCTCCTGCCTTAAAAGGTACCTACCGGTCAATTGGGGTTGTGATGTCACTGAGGCCTGGAGTACCGTGGTCACTAGCCGTGTGTAGCTCTCAGCATGTGGATTTAAATGAGCTGAAGTGGGCTAAAACCAGACTGCACTTCTACCGGAGTAGCCACAGTTTAGATGTCTAGAGCCCTGTGCACTGGAGCTGTGTCTGCC